ACTGATTGTGCTTCTGTCCTGTGGAAATATGAAATGAACTCTTTCTAACCATCTCTGTTTGTCCTGCTCATAGGCAATAGATACAACATCTACGAGGAAAGAATCAATGCGCAAAATTATTTAACTAATCAGCATTACCGCTCCACTTCCTAGTAGAAGGAAGCAGGGTATTAAAACTACATTTTCTCCCTGGCCTTGTTTTTATGTTAATTGACAGAAAGGAAAAAAAATAAAAACAAGAGAGCACAAATGTTGACAGGAGAAAATGTGATATAATTCCACGAAATATTTTGGTTCTAAAATGTTTTATGGAGACTAATGGCTCAATTATAGCTTAATGCTCATTGCTCTAAGTGTTGTGAGGGGGATGAGAAGTCTCTCTTCTGAAGCACTTCGTTCATGGAAACAAGAAAGCAGGTTTCCTGAGAGGGAAACAGCATGTTCATGATCACCTACTGGCCGCTGTCCAGCTCAGGGACTTGGCCCAGCCCTGATGCAGCTTCCCTGATGGACGGAGCATCACGGTGTCCCCTCCCTTCCATCAGGGAACCGTTAGGATTCCGGCCACTGTGCTTGAAATTGTGACTTGCTTTCTCAATCCTATTACAGGATTTGAAAGTGTCTGTGCAGCTCTCCAAAGAGGTAAATGTATTTCAGGAAGTGGAATCATAGGCTGAAATGTATTACAGTTCTTAATAATATAGGGCTTCAAGCATTGAATAAAACCTTCCTTTGAGGAAACTGAGGCATAGAGGAGGGACTTGCTCAAATGTGCTTGGCAGAGTTGAGAGTACAGCACACTGAGTGAGCTGGAGGGAGGCGATTTAGGAGACTGCTTTTATCAAGAGCTTCTAGTACAGTTCTTGGATCGTTCATTTATCCATTTCCTTTATTCATTCAGCAGAGCAGTGTTGAGCACCCACTGTGTGTCAAGTAATGTAGTACATGCTGGGGATTTAGGAGAACAAGACAAAGGAGGTTTCTATCCTCCTGGAGGTTATAGTATTGTAGGGAATATGGACCACAAACGAGTCGATGCCCAGATGTTTGCATTATGAGCATGCTCAGTACATGGTGGATGAAATTATTACTATCTCTGAGCTTCAATTTTTGTGTGCAAAAGAAGGATGATACCAATTATACCAAGAGTTATTGGGTAGAGTAAAGGAGACAGTTGCTTATCAACCAGCATGGTGCTGGACGTGTGTTAGGAGTTCCAGTGCAGAGTGTTCTCACTTCATTCCTCATCTTTAAATTCGTCTCCCATCAGCCACTCTCTTGGTAGAATCAGCCTCAGTAGGAATCAGTAAGGGTGCAGGTAGGGCAGGCAGTGGAGAGTCAGTGGGAAGAGAGTAGGAATTGGGGGAAGTGCTGAGGATTTGGGGTGTCCACGCTGGAGACAGGCTAGGAGACAGTAGCATCCTTGCCAAGCAACAGAACGCCCACTGGGAGGTGGTGGATAGACAGGGAGAGAAGAGGATGCTGAGTGATGGGATGAGTCCTATGTATATCCTGCTGGTTGCTGGGGGCACTCTCAGACTACAGAAATTCACAAAGACATTTCATTCATACGAAAGCCCTGTTCCTCTGGAACCTAATCAAGTCTTGACATTTGAATTTCTAACTAATTTTTAAGAAATAACTTTTCAGATTCTCATCATATAGCACTTGTTCAATATGAATAGAAATAATTACCTTACCGGAGTGATTAGCATGCCCAAGAATAACTATAGACTTTTCCCCCCAATTTTTACTTTTAGATAAATGTCAGATATCTTCTTTAAAGTGCATTTGATTTCTTTTTTTCTGAAGAATCATTACAAAGTAGTAAAATATGATGAAGGTGCAGGGAAATGCAAGGAAATAATGGGAAATGTGCTTGAGAAGAAAGCCAAGTTGACCTGGCAGAGAAAATTTTATCAGCAATGATTTTAGTCACCAAAAATTGGGAGCTATTAATATTAAGTTTATCTAAAAGAGACCAGCAGCAAGTGGTTGTGTTTCTTTCAGACATTCTGGAAGCCTACTTCAAAATGGAATGGCTTACCCATTCTGAATGGGGGCCCTTCGTGGTAAAGTGGGCACACAGGCTCCAAAAACAGGTGGTCTGGAGACCATGTGGCAGCCTGGTTACTCAGAGAGTGACCTTGTTGGGGCACTTAACCTATCTGAGCTTCAGTTTCCTCAACTCTTACCTGAGAATACCAAATTTACCCCCGGGGTTGTCTGCATTAGACAGAATATCGGATGCCAGGAATCATCATGGCACCTCAGGAAAAGAGATTGGAAGAGATTGGTTGACTAGTGGCTGGAATTAGGGCCTTGAACTCCTTCACTCTCCAGCTTCCCTAGAGGCACACTGGGCAGACAGTTACAGGGAAGGTCTCTGTCTTTGTTTCCACAGGTTGTTGTCCAAAGCTAATGGAGCAAGTCAAACTGGGTCACACAGAGCCCTTGGGCCTCATTTTAACCAGAATAGCAAGTCCTACGGTCCTCACTATCACTTTCCAACCATATAGCTTCTCAGAGGTCCGGATTAAACCAACCTGGAGCCTCTGCTGTGATTTCACAAAGAGTGAATGTATTTTCACACACAGTAAGGTAGGGATTTTATGCTAGAACTTCTACAAAGGCTCTCCCCACTTCCAAACATTTGTAACTCATTAGTCTGCAACAAAAAGTGGATGAACATACTTCCCCCAAAGCCTCACAGCAATCCTACCACTCACATGATGAGGAGAGTGAATACAAGATAAAACATAATAGGGCACAGGATGGAGGAAAGGGTTTACGTCAATGGCTAGAGCAAAACTGAACTAATCCCACTCCCTCTTAGCCCGGCTGACATTTCTTGGGAGGGCTTCACTTAGAAGGTTTTTTTGGTTTGTTGTTCCAAAAAATTGGTCTTTGAATGAAGTAATCTCTATGCTATCAGGAAAGAGCCACTTGCATCAGTGGGACATCAAATCCATATTTATTGAAATAGAGGAGAAACTCTTTCCCAGGCTTGCTTGTTCCAAGCCTGTGCTTTGGGAGAGATGTAGCCAGGTATGTGAGCCAAATGGTTATCTCACCAAGAGAAGTCTCATCAGCAAATCATTGTCTTAAATGTAACAGAAGTCCCCAGTCTCTGTTATAACAGACTCCCGGAGGGGATTTTTTTTTTTGTATTTTGAGGGCTACACATAGAATCTGGGTGTTTTTCTCAGTTCTGGTTCACACCCCATTACACACTTTAATGAACTGAATTGAAATTCTCAAATGAAGCCTCAAGATAAAACGCTGCTGATTGTATTTATTTACCTTTGAAGTTAGCTTGTGACATCACTACAATATGCTTGCTTTCTTTACTGAGAGACGATTATAGTATCTAAAGGTTTGTTAACACAACTGTAGTCTAGAAGTAGGTAACACTTACTCTTCCCCTAACTAGAGAAGCAAAATTTCATAGAGGAGAAGGTTCAGGATGGGATAGAGGAGGCTGAGTTCCAGATCCTGGCTCTGTAACTGTGGAAAAGTCATTTCGCCTCCTCTAAAGTGAAAGAATTGGCCTTGATGGTGTCTAAGATTGTTTTCAACTGCAACTTTAAATATTTCTCTGACTTGATATAGATTTTTAGTGTAACCATCCAGGAGATAATAGAAACATGCAGTCAACTTTCCTGATTGTCTACTTTCAGGTGAAATTAAAACCTCAACTCTGAACTCCATGGCTTCAGGTATGAGATCCAGCCCTGGAGAGTCAGGTGGATAGGCTGCTCTAAGAGCTCTCCCAAGTGATTCGGAAATCCGCAGTTCTGCATTTGTACGGAGGGACTGGTGTGCTTAAAAGATCAGTGCCCATTGCCAGTGAACCACATAGCACATCCTAAACCTTTTAAACTAGAGAGTACAATAACAGCTTGTGTCATTTCAGACAAGAACATTGCCTTATGCTACAATAACCACTTATATTCAATACAAAGAGACACCCATTAAGGCCACGTAAATATAACCTGGCTATTTTTTTTCCCATGTTCCTCCAAATTCATCCCTTGATCTTTTATTAATGCTTCTATTTTAAACATCTGGCTAGCCTTTTCCATTGTCTTTGTCTATGCCAGAGTTTCTCAACCTCAGCACTACTGGCATTTTAGGGTACATAAATCTTTGTTGTGGGGGATGTCCTGTGCATGATAGGGTATTTAGCAGCTTCCTTGGCTTCTAATTACTAGTTGCCAGGAGAGTGCCACTGTCCCCAATATGACAACCAAACATGTCTCCAGACATTACCAAAATTCCTCGAGTGTCCAAAATCACTCTGGGTGAAGGACGCTGGTCTATGCTCTATCTTTTTTTCCAATTCTGAATTTTCTTTCATGGGCATAAGATCAGGGCTATATCCTGAAGTGCTAGAAATGATTACTCTGCTGTTATCATTATTCCTAACATTACTAATACCTTTCACTTACATACGATTTTGCAATTTATCAAGTGTTTCTACTCACATTATTCATAAAGATTAATGCATGGCAGCTCATTGTCTATGACAAGTTATAAGAGAGAAGCATCTCTTCTTTCATTGTCCCTGTGCCCCCTTTTCACCATGCTTGGAATCCTGCGTGTTTGACAAAAGAGGTCTTGCCATGAGGAAGATGTCTTTAGGACAAGTCAGGCGCTGTGTAAATGAAATCTGCTCAGTCTTTCAAGAGATTTGAAAGATGAGATGCTTAATCACCTTGAAATGACATCTTTCTCCTGTCAACCTCTGTTGACGTTATCGACATACCTCCCAATACCTAAGACACCCCTCCCACCATCTACAACTACATACAGCAAGTGGCTTCATTAAACTCCCCGAGCCCTGTGACTCCTTAAAAGGGTTCTGAAAGCTGCAGTCCTCAGCCTAAACTGGACTGCAGCAGCTTTATCACGCTGCACTCAGTGAAACCAGATGGCATTTTTGAGAAAAAGAAACGAACATATCCCCCCCCCCCCACCTCCTCCCTGCACCCTCTTACCTGCTTAAGGATTTCAGCAGCTGTCCCATGTGAACAATCAAATATCACATAGAACTCCTTGCCCTTCTTCATCTCCTTGAGTAAAGGCTTGGCATCTTTATTCCCAGAGGGTAGCTGGCGGATTTTGATTTTAATGTTATATCTGGAGGGAGCTTTGATGAGCTCTTGTAGACGAATGAGGCCTAGAAAATGACAATCCCATCATGCAACAGACTGTTCTGTCTAAAGAGGACTTGTTTATTGCCATTTACAGTCAAACTCATATCATTCCCAAAATGTATCAAGAGGCCACCTTCCAAAAGGTTACACGGTTGACTTCTCATTTGTCATTCCCTTTTCTGTGGTAGATTATACTGCATTTTCCTTTTGTGGGTATGCATGTGTAGTTTGGAAACACAATTTCCCAAGCAAATTTTGAATTTACTTAGAATGCAGTTGTCTTCTCCAGTGTTTGGCCAACACCACAAACCTTTAACAAATCAAGTCTGTAACTATAAAGCTTTTGTAAACCAATGTTGCTTGACGTTTCCAAAGGTGTGCAATGACATGGATAATGCTTGCTTGCTTAAAAAAACAAACAAATAAACAACAATAGAATACTAGAATTTCTTGGGGCGGTAAATCTCTGTAAGCCTTTCATCAAGTATTTATGTATAGCACACTGTTTACCAGCTAATTAGCTGGGCTTTCAATATAATTTTCCAGTCCCTACCATATAAACTATTTATAAATGGCTCATCACATCCTCTTTCTAATATGATTGAAGATTGAATTGGAAAACCCTCTCTTGATTAAAAAAAGAAATACCATAGAGTTTTTAGAGATTATGATAATAAAACCAGAAAAAAATTCCTTTAAAATCCACCATTGATAATTTCAGGAAAGTATATACAGCCAACTAACTTGATGGAGAAGGTTTGATTCTCCATAAGTACGAATCTACTGAGCTGCACCATTTTCTAACAGACATACTTTACTGGGGCGAAGCAAACAGCTATATAAAACCTCCGTCTTATTTCCCTTAACATTACCGTGTGATTGCTACACTGCATAACGTTGGCTCTCACTCAAGGACTCTCATCACATTGGAAAATTGACTTTTTTTTTTTTTTATTGCACACTTCTGTGCCTTTAGGATTTGTCAACTTCACGTAATCAATAGGAAATATTAAGTGTTATCAGTATTCAGATGGAAATTTTGCTATGCACTGTCACGGATGCCAGCTACCTCTGGACTTGATATATTGCTTTCATTTTCTTATTTTACTTATTTAGTTATCTGCCCACTCCACCCAAACCACAGTTTTGTGGCTCAGATGTTAAAATGTCCCTCTAATTAATACCTTGGATAGGTTGGGTTCTGAGGTACAGTAACATTGTAACTAAGTGGCTCTTTGGAGTCAAATGGGTGTATGCAATTGGGGGATGATGGTGGTTAGGGTCTGTAGAACCATAACAAGAGTCACTGCTCATTGTTAATTTTTTTTTTTTTACATAATAATGGAAATTTTTAGCATGGTAGCCTTTCTGGGCTCTTGCTTTTTTCCAAACCAATCAGTGTGGTTGAAGGGTCTCAAATGTCAATAATGATCCACTTAACTCTCTTCACTTCCAGAATCACGAGTCCTGAGCCACTCGTGCTTACGCCAAATGGAAGAAAACTGAGCACATGGGCTTGCATATTTGTTAATCCTCAATCCTGTGAAGTGAGCATTATTATCTTTGTTATTTCTGTTAAGGAAACTGAAGCTTAGAGCAATTAACTGTCTCAGGGTAACAAAGATAGTGAGGAGGACCCATCAGTTCAAGTTGTTACCTGTGAGTCCTGCACTCAATCTTTCTCCTTCATGGTCCAGCCTCACAAACACAAATTGCTGGTGCTCAGGGAACAGATATAGCTTGGGATTATTTGGTGAAATGGGGAAAAAATAGAAACAGGGACCCTCATTCTCCTTTCGTCTTTACTCCTGGGTACTTGAGTCTCATTTGAGTTTTTTCTATTGTTCTCCTGCTTTGCAAATGCATAGTTTTTTTTTTTTTTTCTTATTCCTGAGCATGGCCACAAGGGAGACCAATGTAGCCTTTAAATAAAATGGGAAAACCATTTAGAAAGAACATTTCATGTGCTGCAACAAACTGCCTTTTTGTTCTTTTGCTGAATGGAATGTTGATCTAGAAGTGCATCTTCCTATCATGATGATTTACCCATGTTAATGGTATTTTAAAGTTGAATATGTTTTCTCACTTCATTTATTGGTTTTTATCGAAAAACATTTCCTGGATCTTCCTTATATGCCAAACCCCGTGAAAGAGGTGGGACATGAACCCATCTTGCTTTAAGGAAGGGATTCAGTTGTTCTTACGTGGCTAGAACCAAAATGAGCAATGTACTGGTAATTTGCAATGTAAGTATTTCAATACATTAGTAACAATCTTGGAGTCTTGTTTTCCAATGTTCATTTTATTTTGAGCACCTCAGAATTTTGCACTAAGTGTTTCAGGTATTTTCATTACATGAAATCTACCGTGTGTCAGAGATGATTTAATCAATTTAAGTGTTGAGCTGCTAGCAGAACTTGTAAATTTACAGTAAGTCAGAAATAGTAAGGAAAACAGTTCTTTGGTGTTTAGTTTTATATCGAGGTCCTCAGGTTGGAATAAAGTGGTATAGAAAGCAAACGCGAAAGAACAAAAAGTAAAAGCCCATGGAAAGATTTCATCCCATCAGCTCTTAGATGGAGTCTCACTTACTACTCAATTTTTATAAATCATAAGGTGAGGCTAATGGAGGCTGTTGAAGATACCTGCTCAGGATCCTAAGATCTTGTTAAGGCTTAAGTGACAGATCCCGGACTGAAAGCCATGTGTAACTTCTGACTCCCAATCTCAGGCTCCTTTTCTTTTCTTTTCTTTTCTTTTCTTTTCTTTTCTTTTCTTTTCTTAACCAAATCAGTGTCTCTCCTGACTTTAGATTTCAGATCAACTAACTAACTATTAAATAAATAACTACACACATAAATAGAGAGAAAAAACTGGACCAGCATAAAGCAATCAAACATTTAGTTGGTAAATGAGGCCATGAATAGACATTTTGCTCCCCCCTCCTCAAAAAAGGTGACCATGCAGTCTCACAAATCTCTTCTAAAAGAAAGTGATTTTAATACCAGTAGAGGAGAAAGGAGAACGACTCAGTACAAAAGCCCAGTTTCTAATTGGTCTAAATTTATCTTTTGGAAAAACTGACTACTAAGCCCCTAATTTTCTCAGTTTGTCTGCTGGCAGGTGATTTGGCCTCGGGAAGGGAGAGGCTCAACAGATTGAAAGATTACAGACCAAGTTGTGGGAAGAAGAATGAGGGTTAACCAGGGGGGTTTACATTTCTCTTCCCAAAGCAATTGTTTGCTAAAAAAAAAAAAAAAAAAAAAAAAAAAAAGAAAGCCATTCTGCCTTCATTAGCAAACATTGTAGAATTTACAATTTAAAAGTCTTTTCTTTTTTCTTGTTTTTCCCCTTAGTTACCAGGTAAAAAAATTTAGAGAAAGTGTTCCTTTTTATTTGCACTGTGCAGCAATCCATCAATCACCCACCATGCGTTGTAAAGAGTAGCAAAACTTATTTGCTAAACAAATAATTACTTTAGGGAAAGGAAATTGATTTAGGCACAACTCCTAACTTTGCTAATGGTCCTCCGAGTTTGGAAGCAAGCCTTGACAAGTGACCCAGCGCTCCCAGGGTTGGACTCCAAATGCAGAGGACGGTTACAGTGCATGCAAATCTGGTGTCGGTGGCAGTCTTTCTAGCCCACCACGATGGAGGGACTTGAAAAGTAAAATGCAGTTCAGGAGATGATCAAACCCAACTGAGGGGCATTCTGCAATAAAACTGGTCTGGACTCAGCCATTTCCTGTGAGGAGAGGGTATGAGGTGTACCTGGGCACAGGTGACTTCCATGACAGTGGGGAGTTGGGTAAGTTGGTTCTGAGTCCCTTCCATCCAGGTGAAAAAAGCTGTAGGGCCTGCAACACCATTGGGCAACAGCACCCCCAGGGGGTTCTGTCTGTGCCTTGGGCAGAGCCATGCCCTTTGGTCACTGGGAAGGCCTCAGGGGTTTAGAACAACCTGCAGTGAGCCCTTCTGGCCAGCAAACACCTACTCTCCTAGCCTCAGTCATCTCTGCAGAGCATTTGTTTTTAAAAAATGATTACTCTATATTGTATTATCCTATTTGTATACACTAGTATTGTATTCGTGTTAAGTTTCTTGTATTTAATGCTTGTAGTGTGGCTATAACAAGGAAGGCCATAGTTCTTAGGAAATACATACTAATGACTTAGGGGTAAAAAGGCCGTGATGTCAGCCACTTACTTTCAAATGGTTCAATAACACTACTACTTACTATTATGATTGTTGGAATTGTTTTTGTATTTAGAGAATCACAGAGCATTAAAACAAATGCAGCCAAATGATAACAACGGCTAACCTAGATGAAGGGAATACAGGAGTTCATTGTACCTTTCTTGCATCCTTTTTTCTAGGTTCACATCTCTTTAAATACATGGGTCACATGTGGAGATATAAAATAGCACCACAAGAGCCTCTTCCTCTACTCTCACCCCCCAGGGAGGCAGTTGGAAACTGCACCTTTGGTTTCAAAAGCACTTTAGAGCAAGGAATCTATTTATTTCGCATGAGTTCGACCTGGGCTATGCATATGGAGATAACTTTCAAAAATGTCCAAACGGCCAATTCTTTTTTTTTTTTTAAATTTATTGTCAAATTGGTTTCCATACAACACCCAGTGCTCATCCCAAAAGGTGCCCTCCTCAATACCCATCACCCACCCTCTCCTCCCTCCCACCCCCCATCAACCCTTAGTTTGTTCTCAGTTTTTAACAGTCTCTTATGTTTTGGCTCTCTCCCACTCTAACCTCTTTTTTTTTTTTCCTTCCCTTCCCCCATGGGTTTCTGTTAAGTTTCTTAGGATCCACATAAGAGTGAAACCATATGGTATCTGTCTTTCTCTGTATGGCTTATTTCACTTAGCATCACCCTCTCCAGTTCCATCCACGTTGCTACAAAGGGCCATATTTCATTCTTTCTCATTGCACGTAGTATTCCATTGTGTATATAAACCACAATTTCTTTATCCATTCATCAGTTGATGGACATTTAGGCTCTTTCC